ACAGTACCAATTTATATCAAGTGAAAGATTATAAAAATACATAAAATGCTTATTTAATTGGAAAATACATTTATATTAAATTCATTTATACATAAAAGGCAGGTTGTAGCAAATATGCTATATCATTTCCTTACACGGAATCCAGGCATGTAATAAGGATAGTCCGTATTGATACGAACTTTCATTTTAAGGCCTAGTAGACGCAGAAGGTCCGTTAATACCTGACCCATTTTTTCCACCTATCATTGTTAAAAAAGGTGATGTTTCACTGATATTCCTTTACAACATTTGTTAATTATTGATAGCTGTTACGAGTAAATTTAGCTTTTTATTTCATCTACAACAACCAAGAATAATACTAATAATAGAATGGGTGCCCATAAAAATTAACTCTCAATAAAAAATTGTCAAAATAACCTACGCAAAACTAATGTTATAAACAGATATAGTCTAAAACTACGATAAAAAGCGATTTTGTTTTCTGACTTTTAACACTTTTTTATCTATAATTTTGGAAACCGCACGTATCCGCAGCTGATTTTTAATAAATCAATTTTATAGACACCTACGCTACAAATCTATTACAAATATGAAGCGTGGGGAAGCGTAGGTGACTGCTAAAAAAAACGGTGAACTTTGAGATTTTTTGTTTTATAGCTCATTTTACAATTCAACTAATTATTAGTAAACAAAACTATATAATTAAAGATATGAAATTTATCTAAAATCTCCATAACATGATGCTTTTAAAATGCATAACTTTATACTTATTCCAAAAAGGTTTTATAAAAAATAACTTTCAAAGTGATGAAGCAAATAAGTTACAATTGAATATTTACAAAAACATGAAACAGTATGGTTTTAAAAATTATCTTTTTTAATAAAATTAGCTGAAATCTATAAATTATAGTAAAGATTAAACAATTAATAAAAAATTAAAATATAATTACTGCAGTGAAATTGAAATTTGAGCAAAAAACATTCATAGTACGTTTTTGTAATACTACTTTCCACTGTGCGGTGTTTATTACACACAGATGATTTATCTTGTTTCTTTTAAAGTAATAAATTTTAAAACTCACACAATAATCTCTTAGCGTTCAGCAGTTATGGCTTTTTATAATTTGCAACCCTCTCAAATTGAGGGGGGTTCAAACTTTTTATAGTCATTGTTTTTGAACGCTAAGAGATTATTGTGTGAATTTTAAAATTTATCGATGAATATAGATTTAATTAAGATTAGTATAAAACTTATTTTACGTTTGGGGCAGGTGTAGCTAAAAATTTTAGGGCTTTTTTGTTCCCAGACTCCAATCATTTCAATTTTCCGCAAGCATCCATCAAAGCATAAAAATATTATACTTTGCTAAAATCACAGGAAGTTTACATTTTGTATATTTTATGTTTGAATAAAGGGAAACGGTTTGAATTGTGTTCAGTTCAAAGCAATAAATCAAGTCCAAAGCAAAGGAAAAAATATATATATATTTTTCAACATCTTTAATTCCAACAAGGCTGCAAACAACCGTTAGAGTTGGAAGTTACTGAAAGAGAAAAGACGAAATATATAGAGCAAGACAAAGTTTGTAGAGCATTAACAGACGACTTAAAAGATTATAATTATATGAATAAGGAAAACAAGATGAAAATTAATTGAATGACGAGTAACACGAGAATGAATTTTAGTAGATGGCACAAGAAACGCTCGCTCTTTAGAACAGTGCCTATTATAGTATTTATAGAAAAGAGAAAGAGAAGCAACATTACGACAATGTGATAACGGTTGGAGATTTGCTGCATGAGCATGTCCAATTATGTTTACAATGCATTTTTGCACTTTGGATAAAATAGAAAATAGCATCATTTAAAGATCCGCCCCAAATATGGCAACAGTATTCAATACAAGGACGGATTTGATATTTACAGAGATAAAGAAAAGAATCCGGAGTAAGAAAATAGCAAGCATGATTAAAAAATGTAACCTTAACAGATATTAACTTTGCTATTTAGCAGATGTAACCTTAGCAGATATTAACTTTGATATTGATTTGAAATATGGTTTTCAAAAATGATTGGATGTTGGAGTTATCCTAGAAAATAACGGTAATGAACTCATTTTGTACATTACCGTTAATAAATATAAGAAGATCAAGATTATTGCAATTACAATTAGCTAAAAAAATTTGAGTATTATCTGAGTTAAAATTTACCGAGCACTGTGAGCCCCATACTATAGCAGAAGTGAGACCATATTTAAGCTCAAACACCCCATCGAAGCAATCAGAAAGTGCTGGCTTTTTATCAAGACAATAATAAATGGTAATATCATCAGAAAATATTGTCATTTTCGATCTGAGAATTTCTGGAATAACGTTAATGTAAATTAAAAAAAAAGAATAGGACCAATGTAAGAACCTTGAAGAACCCCTGAAGTTACAGGAAATGAAGAAGAGTGATGTCCATTTAGGATAACATAACTGTCAAAAACGACAGCCTTAGCTTCTCCACATCTATCTAATGTGCAATAAAACCTATCAGTTAATGACGTTAACAAATCATCAGTAGAACAAGAAGATCGATATCCATATTGATGATCAAAAACTTATTAAATTCAAGGTGGGAGATTAAGTGTTTGTTAATTAAAGACTCAAAAACTTTGTAAATAATAGTAAGAAGACTTATAGGAAAAAAGTTAGCCGAGTAAGATTGTTTTCCAGAGTTTTTGAAAATAAAGATAATAGATGCCGCTGTTCAGCAGGTTGGAAAACAAAACTTTGATAAGCACTTATTAATTAGTTTCAAAAGTTTAGACGAAAGCTCCAAAGAGCAGGAAATCACTTTAGATACAGAAGCTGGAGTTACACAAGGGTCAGGTAAATTGGCTATATCAACTAGAACGCGACTATTGGAATCAAGAGATGATACTAATGAAAAATTAGCAAACAATTCGGCTTTGTCGTTAGGTAAGGTGACAAAATCTGAACCATACAAGAAAGGTGGAATAACAGATTTGACATTTATATATATATATAGATTTAACAGATTTGCCATTTAGAAGATTCTTCAGAAGACACGAGAACCTGAGTTTTGAGATGAAATACGAAATTCTGCGACCTGATAAAAATCATTTTTTTATATATTTTTAATTAAACTAATTGCCAACTTCTTTTAAAATATTCTTGTTGTATATATATATATATATATATATATATATATATATATATATATATATATATATATATATATATATATATATATATATATATATATATATATATATATATATATATATATATATATATATATATATGTATATATATATATATATATATATATATATATATATATATATATATATATATATATATATATATATATAATTAAATGTTATTTTTATTTCATTTTTAATAAAACTAATTCTAAACTTCTTGTGAAATATTCCTGTTGTATGTATATATATATATATATATATATATATATATATATATATATATATATATATATATATATATATATATATATATATACATATATATATATATATATATATATATATATATATATATATATATATATATATATATATATATATATATATATATATATATATATATATATATATATATATATATATATACAACAGTAATATTTCACAAAAAGTTGGGAATTAGTTTATTTAAAAATGAAATATCTGCAGTTAGTTTGCAACCCGAAAGTTCTATCAACTACATTAAAATTAAAAAGTTAACCATGAAAAGAATTATTCGGAATTAGGATATTTTAAATTAGATCATTTGTTTTTATAATATTTTAAAAGGTACTTCCCAGCAAGCACACATGCGTTGTTAAAACATTAAAACAATGTCGCGCGTTTCGTTGGCCCAACATCGGCTGCCAACGTTGTTTTTATATAATTATGGTTACAAATGCGATGTCGCCAACAACTATAAACCAATATTGATAAAACGTTTATTTAGAGTCGGAAAATAGTTATATTTTTTACGTTAATTCCACATATATATAAATTCCTAAAACCAGTCAGAGTCCGTTTTAAAATCCCAAAACCGTCAGAGTTTTTACCATTTACTCTGTTAACAACGCTTTTTACCGCAAAATTTGCCCAAAATTTTTATTGATGAAGTTAATAAAAAAAGAAATTATGTTGCAAAACTTTAAGAAGTCGACGAGACAAGAACTTTACTTGGAAACAAACCGACTAAGTTTTCTTAAAACATCTAAATGTAAATGAGTTTTATATAAAATTATATCATATCGAAACAAAAAATCTTATACCCGTTATTTATTCACAGCTATATAAATTGTGTTAAAATTACTTATGAAAATTACTTTTGACTGCGGTACAATAAAATTTCACGGATCATTCACGTTAAAAGGGGTAAAAGGATAAAATGCTTTTTCACAGTCAGAAGTATGCAAACCACTTAAATATTTATATGAATAGTTTTACTTATTCTAAATCATTATTTATGGAGAGAAAAAGACTTAATATTTACGAACTCAATGTTTACAACATTTTATGGCTTATCTACCTAACATTTTATGGCTTATCTACCTAACATTTTATGGCTTATCTACCTAACATTTTATGGCTTATCTACCTGACATTTTATGGCTAATCTACCTGTGGAAAAATTAACCTTAACCTTACTTATCTTTAATGATCTTTTTTCTCTACACCCAGTAAATAAATATATAAAAAGAAATAATAATGTTTTATTTTAATTTTACCAATTTGCAGAACAAAGCTTAACAAATTTTGCATTACATATTGCACACCATATCTTTGGAACAAAGTTCTTATACCTAATTTTAATATATCCAATTCTTATCGAATCTTTTTTAATATAAATAAAAAATGTTATTCAATTTATTTTTCAATGTATTATTTTCAAATAGTTGTATTTTTATACTTTTTTAGTCAAAGAGAAGTTAAATTACAAAAATAAAATTAAAGTTTCTAAAATGAAAATTAAATTTACCAAAATTATTTTCATTCAAAAAAGAGTTGGTATGAATAGGCAAAACACTTAGAGTACTTGATTGAGTTACACCATTATGATTACTTGACTGTACACGAGAAACATTTTGACTGCGAGATTTCCGCCACTCATAACTTACTACGGTTTTTATACAATCAACAAAATCATAACAGTTACCAGAGTAACATATAATAAAAATTAAAATTAAAAAGCTGCAGAAACAAAAAATTCCAAAAACACCAATCAGTACTACACCAGCAATAAAATAAGAAGAGTTTTTATCGGTTAAAAAAAGCAACAAAAGTCCCATTAGGCATAATAAAAAACATACTGCTTCTGTAACAATACAACATATGCAATTGCACATAATCAAAACAGTTTAATGTTTCATCTTATAGTCTTAAACCAATGTAGGTTTATATAAAATTTTGTAAAAATTTTCTCTTACTCATTTAATATCAAACATAACTTTTTATTGTAGGATTAGCAATAAATAAAAGAGCACAAATCCGACAAAATAAAATTTTTAAATAATTGCAAATAATCCGAATTAAGCAAAAGTTATACCAGTAAGCAATAAAAATTCAATTAAATTAAAATAAGTTATTAAATAATTTATTAGTGTTTTAGAGAAGAGGTTACAGTGTAATAAGTATTGATATTTAAATTAAGCTTTATAAATATGTATTGTGAATATGTATTGTGTGAAGTAGGTCTGACATTAATGATTTATTTTTCTTTCTTTCAATAACTTTAGATATTCTATAAAATGTGTTATTATCATGTGTTATAAAAAATTGTTTTGTGAGTAAGTGGTTAAAGACGCAAAATATTTAGAAACAGAGTGAGGAGGAGGGGGCATTGTGGCTTATTATGTGCGTAATAAAGTCACTCACAAAAAAATCAATTTATTTCATCGCTTAACTTTTCTAGTAGAGGTTAAAAGTGAGTTTATATTGGTTCCTTAAGGAATGCATATAATTGTCTTATTTTATTACGAGGTTTTACAGTTTCAAAAAAATAAATTTTAAATATTTATCAAAGGATCATAAAAAACTATTTAGTCAAAATTTGAGCGTAAATATTGAAGAACTACTTTTTTATTATTAAAAAAGTGATAAAAGTATTGAGCTGATAAAACTACAGGGCTCGTTAATGTTGAATGATATGAAAGCGATGTTAAGATGAATCTAAAGGTCTGAATTTGGAAACATTGGCTTCTTGACAATAATAAATCCAAAGTATTGCAAATAATATAATCGAGTAATTTGTCTAAACTATTTATACTTTTGTGATTAGTTGGAGTTTCAAAGGAGTTTTTAGGTATATTTTTGCATAACAATTTCGACTTAAACTGTATGTTAGAAAGTGATGTAAAGTCCGTACTCTTATTTAGAGAGATAAAATCAAGGAGGTTTAATAAACAGGAGACGCCGTAGTATATACTTTATATAAAACGCGATGAAGCCAGTTTTGAAAGTCAGCCGCCATCTTGGTTAACCCAAAACATTGTTATGTTTTGCGCGGAAATTTATATTTTAAGAGAAAACATTGCTGAAAACAAGTCAAAATATAGATACAAATGATTAAATAATTTGCCAGTTGTTTCCGAGGTTGTAATAAACTACAAAGAATTGTTTGCTAACTGATTATCGGGTTCAGTTTATTCCAAAATATTGGAATACTGAAGTAGACATTCAGATAATAAACACACTTTTAGAAGATGTAAAGACATTTTTTAGACATATTTTACAAAGTGTGAACATGAAAAAAAATGTTTGTGAGTTTTTTATTAAAGTTTAACATAATTAAATGTAAACATAAATAAAAATAAATGTATTAAATATACATATTTAACTTTTAATATCTTATTTATTATGTGTATATATACACATTTATGTATATATATATATATATATATATATATATATATATATATATATATATATATATATATATATATATATATATATATATATATATATATATATATATATGTATATATATATATATATATATATAAATATATATATATATATAAATATATATATATATATATATATATATATATATATATATATATATATATATATATACATACATATATATAAAAACAGTTTTGTGGAGATGCACAAAGTTTAGCTGAAATTAATTTCTTCTATTATCTTTTTGACCTGTAAAAATTACTATCTTTTTGTGCAACTGTCGACTCACTATAAAGTAACAGATCTATATGATCTTAGCTAAATTACAGTAAGAAAATATCAAAAGTTAGTAATAAAACTAGTAAGAAACTAAGTATGCTATTACTATGGCGCTTCAAAAGTGCCTGGTATAGCGCCATACTGAATTACTGAACACATGAGGACCTAGTTCCATCCATATCAGCTTCTGTATTTAAAGCTGATTTAGTACTTCTTCTTCTTTGAACACAACTGCTCATTTCTGTTTTTTTGTTTTCTCTACATAGAGCAGTTATCAACTTTTGTTAATTCCTAATATTTTATTTTTGACGGAATTCTATAAAAATATTGACTAATAAAAAAAACACCATAGTAATACCATATATGCTATTACTCTAGTGATTTCGTTATTTTATTAGTCAATATTTTATAGAATATATTTTAATGATATTATTACTTTGTGAATTTTCTTGCTTGGTGTAGCGTAATGTTTCTGCAGAAGTAATACCATCAGCACAATCTCTTGCATCCATAGGCAAAACAAGTCTTGTCAAGTTATATCTTTTTATCAACTTTTTAGCCTACACTCAGTATAAATCATGTAAAGTCAAAAAAAAAATTATTTAATAAATATATATTTAGTTGCTAGTTGCTCAGTTCTCTGAAAAACGCTTTTTGTGAAATACATTTAAAATTATTCAAATATATATATATATATATATATATATATATATATATATATATATATATATATATTATATATATATATATATATATATATATATATATATATATATATGTATATATATATATATGTATATATATATATATATATGTATATATATATATATATATACACACACACATATAATATATATATATATACACATATAGAATATATATATATATATATATATATATATATATATATATATATATTTTGTCAACGACTAAAATGGGGAAGATGATGAGACTATTGTCTACTTGCTCCAGTCATATATTTCATGGTAAAATGTTGTACAAATTTATATTAATAATCATTATATATTATATTATCATTATATATATATATATTATATTATCATTATATATTATATATTATATTATATATTATATTATATTATATATTATATTATATTATCATTATATATTATATAATCATTATATATTATATTATATATTATATATATTTATGATATTTGTATTATATACATATTATACATATATACACACACACACACATATATATATATATTACATATATATATATATATATATATATATATATATATATATATATATATATATATATATATATATATATATATATATATATATATATATACATATATAAACACACACACTTGTAAATTTATATTTATTTTTAATTGTTTAAATATAGATTAAAACTCACAAACATTTGGTCTTATTTTCTCAACAATCTTTTATACTATTTGAAAAACAATATCTTCTAGTATCGTGTCAAAATATAGCTATCTGAATGTCTATTTCAGTATTCCAAATGTTATTAGAATAAACAGAAAAAGGCAATCAGTTAGCAAATAATTCTTAGTAAGATAGTATAAGCTGCCAAACATAAAGTGACGAATAATTCAATCATTTGGTGCAATCATTTGTCTAGAATTTAATAAACTTTTTAGTAAGATTTTAAGTTCCGTGTAATGTTTTGGGTTAACCAAGATGGCGGCCGTTTTAAAAACTGGCTTCAAAAAAGTCACGTGACACCGTCTCCTGTTTATTAAACCTCCTTGGATAAAATAATATAAATCTTAAGGGTCGTTTAAAAGAAAATTAAAAAAATATGGCTGTGCTTAGTGTGAACCAATAAGTTACAAAAACCACATTAAAAACCTCTTTCTCTATCATTTATATTTTTTCCGTTAAGAAATACAAAAAAACTTAAGTGCAATTTTGTAATCATTAGAAATTTTTTTAGTTTTAACTGTTTTAAATCTAGATGACAAACAGAAAACTAACTAAGAAAATGTTTTTAATTTTTTTTTACCTACGTGCGATGTTAATTTCAAGTTTAATACCGGAACTTTAATTTATATTTATTAATGAACTCACTAACATATTTTAAATTTGTTAAAATCGATATTTTAAAATTTATAGGTGTAGCGGCAGTGATGCTTTATTTGGTGATTATATAACCAAAAAGTAGCACTTTATCATTTAAAAAGTTTAATCTTTTGTATGTTTATATTAGCTATAGGTAATGATGTCATATAAAGATATATTTGCAAAATAAAAGATTGATTTAAATTTATTAAAAAGTATTTAATTTTAAAGCCATTTTAAATTGTTCGGTTTGTTTTGCTTTTATTCAAATATGCTTTTGTTTAAAGAATTTATTTTAATTTACTCTGATTTATATTGCTTGTTTAAATGAATATAATTAAAATAGATTCTAATCCGAATTACTTCCGGTGTTATTGATGTAACTACATGCTATAACATTTAATAACTATTGATATGTTGATTAGCAAGGAATAAAACAGCAAATAATTTGTAAAAGGAAACTTTTATTTTTATGTACATTTACACACACACACACACACACACACACACACACACACACACACACACACACCACACACACACACACACACACACACACACACACACACATATATATGTATATAATATATAAATATATATATATATATATATATATATATATATATATATATATATATTTATATATATATATAAATATATATATATATATATATATATATATATATATATTTATATATATATTATATATATATATATATATATATATATATATATATATATATATATATATATATATATATATATATATATATATATTTATATATATATATATATATACACACACATATATATATAGAAACTTCGTTAAAAATTAAAATAATATGGTTTATGTTAACACCACACTTAATACAGTAAGAAAGGTAAGAATGTTTCTTTTTAAAATTTGAAATAGATGAATATCTATTTCAAATTTTAAAAAGAAACATTCTTACCTTCTACTGATGTACTCTACTTGATGTAGCCAACAAACACGTTATTAAATTGCCTGAGTGATTTCCTGCTTAATTTCTTCTATAGCTTGTGGTCCGGACAACACACCTGTTATAGTCTATCTGAAGTGTTCTCCGGAGCTGTTGTCTTTATTTTTAAAACTGCTTAACAAGTGTTAAATAGTTTTGAAAAGATAAATAGTTTTTTATTGTTGTCTTTTTTTCCAGCGTGCTAAAAAACGATATCTTTTAACCCAATTTTTTCAAAATTCTGGAGAACAAAACTTGCCATGGATTTTGATCTTCTCGTTCTACTGCTAACTTGTTAACGTTATTAACTGATAGGTTTTATCATGCATTAGACATTAGTTACGGAGAGGCTAAGAGCACTACTCTTGACATTTCTAAAGCATTTAATAAAGTTTGGCATGCTAGTCTTCTACATAAGCTTTTTTCTTACAGTGTATCAGGTAACACCTTTATGATGATTTAATTCTTCCTTACTAATTGTAGTATAAATGTTGTCCTCGATAGACAGCACTCAGGGGTTCCACAAGGTTCTATCATTAATTCTATACTTTTTTTAATTTATATTAACACTCTCCCAGAAATTGTCACATTTAAAACGCCATTGTTTGCTGATGATATTATCACTTATTCTATTTTTGATAAGAAGCCAACCCTCTCTAATTTCTTGGGGCATTTGAGCTTGAAAAGGATTTCACTTCTGCAACAGCTTGGGGGTTCAACTTCAACTTAGATAAAATTAAATTTATTTTAGCTAGTTGTTATTGCAATAATCTAGATCTTCTCATTTTTATGAACGGTAATGTAGTTAATGAGTCATCTACTCTTCATCTTCTAGGATTAACTCTTACTTCCAATCTTGGAAACCATATATCAAACCCATTGCAAAATTAGCATTGCTAAGATTGCATTTCTTTATCGCGCTCGCTATTTATCTTATTCAGAATTCTATGCTCTAAAGAGCTAGCGTCTCTTGTGCCATCAACTCAAATTAATTATCGTGTTACTTGTCATTAAACTAAGTTTCATCATTTTTCTGCGAATGTTCTAAAGTGCTCTTAAAATTCTTATTCGTCTAGTTTTTATCCTAGAATGGAAGTCAAGAGATTGAAAAACAAAAAAAATGCTTAATTGACTTGAAATGAAACAATGATTTCCAAAAGCATTAAAAGTAAAATTGGTTGTTCGTTACTTTTAGAGAAACAGTCTTAAAATCTTATGAAGTCTTCTATTGTAATGTAGTTTACTATATATATATATATATATATATATATATATATATATATATATATATATATATATATATATATATATATATATATATATATATATTTATATATGTATATAACCAAACAGTCTTGAGAGTCGTAAAAATATTATGTCAAAAATTCATTTGTGGATATTTGTCATTAAACAAATTAAATTTAAGATGGCTTTAAAATATAGGCATTAATTTAAAATTAAACTAAGTAATAACAAAAAATTATAAATAATTTTTTTTAATTTTAAATTTAACTTTACATTTATAGTATTATTTTCTACTTTTATATATTCACCACCTGTTGCAAAGCATAATTTTTTTTTTCTTTCAAGGTATTTAATGAGACTAATATACAACTTACTTTAAATAATGTCATGTTTTACTATCAGTTTATCTTTATAAATAGCACCAACAAAACTTCCTTAGACAAAAAATATAAGGCTTCCCTAGAGAACAAAAAGTTGTCTAAGCTTCGTTTTATTTGTTTAATTTTTCAAAAATAACAACCTAGTACCTTGTTTGCTCTGATGTACCTTCAATGCTCTTATTTTGTTATCAAGCTTTAAACAGTTTTAAAAAAGTATCAATATCTGGAAAAGGACATTTTGAAACAACCAAATTAGATACTTTACTCTCGAATGTCTATTCCACCTGCAAATTACTTTTATTTTTTTCAACTAATATTGTATTTCCTGAGACTTTACAGTTTCCATGGTGCGCAGTTTATCAGTTAGTGATGCTATCCTTGTGTTTCCACTTGCCATTCCAAATTTGTATTTTTATGGTATCTCAAATCAGCTAACACAAGAAACTAGTTAAACTTTAATACCTTAAAAACTCTACATAACCATATTTCAGACTTATCTTTATTAAAGTACTTGTACAAACAATAATTAATAATAATATATATTAAGATTATTCAAACTTTTTTTCTTTATCTTTATTATAATTCAGTTATAAAGAAATTGAGATAAAATTGAAAGCCTATTTTGAAAGTTATTTTTGAGCCAGTCAAAGTTGAAATGCAATAATAAAATATTTTAGAGATTTTATTTTAATGTAAAGTTTTCTATTATTTCTAATAAAGTTAATGTAATTTATTATTAAATGTGCCAAGTTTAACTTGTAACTTGTGACTTTCTGGTTTTAAAAAACTTAGTATTTATTCATTTTAAAGTTTCAAGTTTTTTTGTGTGCTTTTCTTTAGGTTAAGGTTTAGCCATAGTGGCTTGAAATCATAATATTTAGTTCATCTTTTAATTTCAGGTAAAAAAAATTATATTGTTATGCAGTTTAAGCAACTGTTTTTATCACTTTATATGCCCTGTTTGACAGGGCACATAAAGTGATAAAAACAGTTTGTTATTTTCTTGTCTCTTATTTTCTGCCTAAAAATAACAGACAAGAATAAATTAATTTAAAATAAAATTTTTTATTCAACACCTTTAAAATTATGAATAACAGTGTTATCGATAATTTTAATGGTGTTGAATAAAAAATTTTGTTTTAAATTATTATTTTCTTGTCCTGTTATTTTTTTTCATTTACAAATATTTTTCATATTGTTTGATAGAACTAGTATATTTTTAGATGTCTAAAGTTAAACTTCCTCAATCAGATGTCGATCTTCTGATGACTGATTTTTCTGTACCAGTTATACAATTGCTTAATGGAGTTAGTAATGTTTTTGTTTTGAAAGAACTGAAGAATGCACTAACTCAATTTTCATCATTAAAAGTTATTGATAGCGACCATTTTGGTAACAGGGAGTTCTTCTCACGACTCAAGATTACTTTGAAAAACCTCTATCCTGAGTTTAAGGATGATTGGGTAAGATAAGTGATTTTCTACTTTTTTTCTACATTAACTACATTTTTTCTTTTTAACTAAATTATGATAATACAGTCCAATTATGCTTATTTTTGCTAAAAAAATATTTATAAAAGACAAATTTATGTAAATAGGATACATTGCTTAAACAATAGTGTTGTTGGTGGCGAGTATGGGCTAATTTTGTGTTGCCACTCTAGGCTAAAGTCACTTCATTTAATAGTTAAAAAAAATTAAAAATGTGTCATTTAATGGCAAATTTTAAATTTTTACTCATAAAGCCAATGAAGCACAGTATCATTATATATATATATATATATATATATATATATATATATATATATATATATATATATATATATATATATATATATATATAATGATTATATATATAATATATATATAATTATATATATATATATATATATATATATATAATGATATATATATATATATATTATATATATATCATTATATATATATATATATATATATATATATATATATATATATATATATAAATTTTTTTTTATATAAATATATATCTTATACTGCTGAGTTAGGTGAGCATGATGATGTCATACTCACTTAATGTCAAATAGCCTGCTGCCGGGGTCTTCAGTACATACATCGACTGGCAAATAGCCTGACTCGCCGTGGAGTGCTGCTACATCGACTAAGGGTTTGGTATGGGTCAACATTTTCATTCATTATTCTTCTTTTTCCCTCATCGTTTTCTAAAAATGCTCATTTAATTTAGGCTAGCAAAAAAAGTGAGCAATTGCGCATATAAATATGCTATAGTATATATTTATATATATATATATATATATATATATATATATATATATATATATATATATATATATATATATATATATATATATATATATATATATATATATATATATATAAATAATTCAAAAAATACATGTAGCTTATTCTGTAGATCTATTCTTTCGAAAACCAAACTGGTAATAAAAGGTTTGATGAAAGATTGTTGGTCTCTAGGTAGTCCCATAACTGCGATTGTACAGTCGTTCAAAAAATTTAGAAAACATTGGCAATACAGAAAATGGTCAAAAGTTGCTGAATTCATTGAACAAACTTGATTTATGTATGAGTATATCTTTTGCTATTTTCCAATTTGTTGGTACTGTATGTAAGAGAATCTGCTATATTTCCGGCAATGTCTTTAATAAAACGTGCAGGTAAGTTACCTAACCCGGTAGATTTTTTAATATTAATTAATCTTAAATTTGAATGAGTGAAGTTTTTAGAGATTGAAACGAGTTTGAACCTTTGGCAAGTTTTTATACTGAGTGTAAAAGGTTTTGCCCAAATTTTTTTGTTTAAATTAACAGTATTATTTTTTAGGTTGATTAGGTTGTGTGCAACATAACGGAAGAAAGAACAAAAACTGTCGGCCATTAGTTTATTTTCTGTAGAGAATTGCTTAATGCTATTGTTTTCAATGGTTTGTTTAGTTGGGAATATGCGTTTAATGGCTTTCCAGTACTCTTTCAATTATCACGAGAAAATAACATCTATAGATAATTTAAAATATTAAAAAAAGAGCTTTGTTTTTCAAAGCCTAATTTCTTGTTAAACAATATTGTTATTTACAAATAATAAACATATTCTGTAATAGTTTAAGTTGTTTTGGTAGATCTTTTATTGATCTCAAATTGTTCACATTGGTTGTAGTTATAGATTGAACTGTGTTTGGTATCTTGAAAACCTACAACAATGCTTGTTTTTCTGATTTAATCAATACCTATTCTGTCAATGAGTCAAATTTTCCATTCTGCACATGTCTGATTCACAGAATTAACTTTACTCTATCCATCGAATATAAGAATAATGTTTTTATTCGTGCAAAAATGGTACCATAAATTCTCAATCTGAAATATTACTGAAAAAAACTAATAAAAAAAACAAGTGGATTTTAAGTCAAATTCAACTTTTATTATTTTTGTTAATAAAACTGAAACTATACGAATTGAAGTTACGAATGTAGATTTATATTGACAACATAGTCAACCAGCAATAATGCATTTTTCATAAAATGTTGTTGCAATAACTATTTTTCATAACAAGTTGTTGAACTTTTGTTTATGTATTAAAAATGTTATTTATATTTCTGAGTTTTCTGAGTTTTAGTTAATTTTTGTTTATAAATAAGCTAGAATGCAATCAATAGTATTTCTATAATTCATTGAAGCAATCTCTTTATTTAATAAAACTGTCATTCCCTATGGCAAAAAAAAGTGTTGTTGATTCAAATCAATTATGTGATAAAACAAGTTATTATGATGTTTTCTTATACCCTAGTGTGTGAGAAGTTTTTTTTTTTTTTTTTTTTTTTTTTTCATGAATTTTTAAAATTTTATAAACTATTGTTACAACTCCTTCTCTTGACGTAATATATAGTCATAGAGAAAAACAAAAATAAATGTATACATATATAAATTGTTAAAAATATATTGACAAACACACTGTGTTAAATACAAAGTATATGTTTTATATTTTATGATAATAAATTTGATAAAATAATTTGGTGAAATAATTGTGATGTTGTAAGCAAACTCTCAGAAGACTTAAAGAAGTCTTGTCATCGAGAACCTTTGAGACATAAAATAAGTAAAAAACTAAAATGCAAACTTGTTAAGTGACATTACTAGAGTAATATACATAAAAATATTGAGATATTAAATTTATAGGTGTTGTATAAGAATTTTGAATTTTGTTATTTTTTTTTTCTTTTTCACTTTCTTGTCGAATATGTTTAAAAGATATCGATAAAATTTGTTGAGTTAATTATGAGATGTTTAAGGTTTTTCTTTAAACTATAAAAATTACCATAATTACTAAGTTCTATATTTTGGGGTATGACTTTGTTATATAGGTAAGGGCCTCAGTATACAATTGTATATTGCGAAATTTTTGTTTTTTTTTATAGGAAACGTGAAATTTCCCGTTCTTCTTGTAGTATACTTATCAGAGTTAATTTGAAAAAAGTTATTAGAAAAATAATTTGGAACTAGTCCAAGTTTGTATTTCAACATTAATAAAATAATTTAGTATATATTAATTTGATAGATATTTAGTGCGTTTAAAGGTTTAAGTAAAGGATCGGCATGAGTAAACTTATTTTAATTATAAACCAGTCTTGATGCATGTTTTTGATGCACGTATAGAGAATTTAATTTAGATTTATGTGTGCTCTCCAATGCAATGTTAGCGTAATTTAAATAACTTTGAATATAAGAAAAGTAGAGAATTTTAAGATATGATTGTGAGAGCATTGATTTAGCTTTATAAAGAACACCTATACATTCTGATATTTTGTTATTTTATTTACTTATATGGGCCTTCTAGAAAATCTTCTCATCAATAATTATTTCAAGAAATTTAGTTTTTTCAGTTCTTTTAATGCATATGTTATCTATTTTTAATGATGGTAGGATTGGTGGTATATTATTTTTCTGCTGTTTAGAATGAAATGAGAGATATTTGGCTTTTTCTGTATTTAAAAATAGTTTATTTGCTTTGAACCAGATATTGAGATTTTCAAGATCAGCGTTCATTGATTCATAAAATTCTTTGATGGATGACGATGAGTAAAATAAATTTGTGTCATCGACAAAAATAATAACATCAAGTTTTTCGAAGATCGTTGATATAAATTAGAAATAGTAGGGGACCAAGAATGGAACCTTAAGGAACTCCGCATTTTATTTCTAAAAGGTTTGAATATTTGATATCGTCTGAAATTACGCATTGTTGTCTGCCACACAGGTACCTTTTGAAACAATCAAGATTTATATTTTTTAATCCATATTTTTCCATTTTTATATAGTAATATATTATGATTGACAGTATCAAACGCTTTTGATAGATCATAAAGGTTCCTAATACAAATTGGTTTTTGTCGAATGAATCACTTATGGTATTTACTAGATCTAGATTGCATGTTCGATCGAGTGTTGTGTCTGGAAACCAAATTGCTTTTTATTTAAGAATTTGTTTTGAGTTAGATAATTATCTAATATATTGTAGATAATTCGTTCAAGTAAATTAGAGAAAGTAGGAAGTATGGAGATTGGTCTGCAGTTATTTAAAGATGATTTTTACCGGTTTTAGGAATGGGTATAATTTTAGCCGTTTTTAATTTGTCCGGTGCAATTCCTGTTTTAATCGACAATTTGAAAATTTCGAAAATAAGCTTGCTTATTTCTGAAAAAACATTAAAAACAATATTACTGCAAATATTGTCTATACCTGGAGACTTGTTTTTTCTAAGAAATTTTATTGCAGTTTCTAGTTCTTCAATTTTTAGTTCTCTAAATATTATAACTTGATATAAAGTTTTTTTTTTTTTTTTTGAAGATTTTTTTATACATTTGGTGATCCATGGACATTTTAAATATTTTTTTTTTATTATACATGAATGGGAAAGTGACTATTATATTTTTTAAGAAAATTTGTATAAAGTTATCATAAGCGGAGTTGGTGCGCCCAAGGTGGCATTCTTGGTATACCTTTTCCCATTTTACTGCCAATAGCGAGTTTTTAAATTATTGAATAGCACATATGTTAATTTTTCTTTAATAAATTTTGATTTTGTTGTTTTTACAAGATTGAATATCTTGCGTCATGGAAAAAAAAAATCGGAAAATGATCAGATATATCTGTCTTGATTATTCCTGCTTTTAGAGAAACATCGAAAATTGCATTTGTTAGTCTATTAGGGCGGGTCATTTTTCAAAATTTCCCAGTAAATGCTTAGGCCATATGATTTTTAAATGTTTTGGCCCTTATATAAAAGTAATCGAAAAAAATATATATTAATTTTCAGATTTTTAAATTTTGACCTCAAAAATCGAGGTTTTGGGTAAAAAATGCTATATACGCGGTTTGCCAAAACTTTTGACCGGTTGCTCCGATTGACTCAAAAACATCTTTTATGGAATCCTCGATCCCAACTACCCCTAGTTAGATAGTTAGATAGTTTTTTATATTGTTTGAATCATCACATCCCTCTAAGTAAAACATGCAATACAAAATGTATGAAACTGGTATTGAATGATATAAATTATTATCATATTTTACTGTAACTGGAAATATCTAGAGCTTTTGATATTTAAGTTGTATGACTTTTTTTTTTACTATAGGAACATAGATTAAAAGTTTTATACTTTCTTTAATTAGTATAGTTATTAGTCCAACATATCATTGTTATTTTAGCCTGATTAAAAGATATTGTAGTGTTATATTGATTTTTAATTTTTTTCCAAACTTACGCATATAAATTTTTTGTTATGTATATATGTTTTTAAGTTCTATGTTTGTTATTTTTTATGTTCTACAAAAACTAGTATTGATTTTTTTATACTTTTATTTAAAAAGTTATTTGTTTTGTGCAAATTGAAAAATGTTTCTTTATTAGATTAATTTTTTTCTTTTTTTTTAGTTCGATCACAAGATTCTGCTCTATTTCATTTTTTATGTTTAATTTGACCACTGTTGAAATATGGTTTTAATTTAGTAAATTTTTATGAATTGAAATTTACTTTACTAATCATTAGCCAACAGTTTAGGTAATAATATTGATTTCATCACCATTAAGGTAAGAATAATTTTCTTCTCTGTTCACACCATTAAACAGTTTGTTATACTTTATTTTTTTATTGGTATTTTTCACCAAAGCAGTTTTTTATGATTATCATATTTTTTATAAAAAGTGTTTTACAACTATTATAAGTTTCTAGGAATGAGCATTAAAACATTTCAAACGTCAAATACCGGAGTATTGAATCTTTATAAGAGTCAATGTAATGTCCACTTCCTGACGAGAATCTGGTGTTATTCTAAATAATTTTCAATTTTATTTAAACGCTAATACATTTTTATTCTCTTTCTTTAAGCAATTATGTGTGCACTTCCTTTTTATATTAGATGTCTGTTTTTGTTGTTTGTTGTAATACTTCTGCTTTATAGTTGTACTTTATGTCTAATGAATTGAGTAATTTTGTTATATTATGTTAATTTTGTATCTCAATATGCTAACCTCAACAATGGCAATTGTTAATAATTGTTTTGATTTTTTTCATATGTTTTATGTGTCTTTATTTGTAAGAATTGTGTTCGTAAATATTTTGATTCTCAGTCTTGTTCAGCTCTGATCTTATAATGCTCTCTTTATAAATAAAGTTTGCAAATAAAACAAGCGAGTTAAGTCACTGGTGGAACATATTTAGCCATAAATGCATATTATTTAAGTGTTAACATTTAAATAATATGCATATTATTATTTGAGCGTTTTGAGAAAACGATTGAAAATTAGTTATTTAAGCATGCTTAAAACATTTTTTACTACGATCTAAATTAATAATGTAATAATAAAGGCAATAATCAAATTGTTTTTGTGTAAGATCTTAAAGTTATTTCTTTTATACTTATTGCTGTATTGGTATTTCAAATGTTTGATTTATTTCATAATCTTTGTTAAATAAATGTAACATTTCAAATGTTGGATTATTTAATAAAGAAGACATTTTAAATGTCTTCCTTATTAAATATATCAAACATTTAAAATGTCATACAGTATAAGTATTAAAAAAATTTTTTTTTTCATAATTTAATTATAATAGGTAAGATTATATAGCTATTATAAGATATATTATTAAAGGATCGATAATATATATGTGGCATTGAAGTTGTTAGAAGCTGATATTTTACATTTTAAGTATGTCTTTTTTGTTTGATTTTTTTCTGTGTTTGATTGTGAAACACTATCTACTAACATATTAAAACAGTGTACAAAAAATGATGTTACTAGAATTTATATTCTACGTATGTAGAGCTCTCTATTATTGCCAGACATTTTATTTTAAGACCAATGACTAGTCTATAATAATTGATTGAATTATGAGATATCAATAAATAAGCACTAATATCAATTGAAATAAAAAACTCAATTTAAGTCATTATTTTTATTTGTCTGATTTAAATCATGATTAAAATTGAAACAACCCTTAATATATTCCATCTTTCTGAGGCAAAAGGACATTATTCTTGGTTTTATCATTTTTTAATTTAATATCTCTGGATATTTTTCATATTTAGTTTGCGTACAAAAGTTAACAACTTTAAGCTTTTACATTAACTTTAGTTATAACTTAATTATTAATGATTTTAATTATAGATTTTTATAGCAATACAAGATTGAATTTAGCTGAAGGCTAAACTTCTGCTCTGGAGACAAAAAAGGGAGACAGCGAAAACAGCCAAAATAAAGATTAAAGAGACAAAAAATTGTGTATATCTTGGTGTAAATAAAAAATATTATTAAACTTTGGGATTTACATGTAACTCCAAACTCTTTACACTGTAAAGAGTTTGGAGTTTTTGTAAATTACATGAACTTCTGTAAATTACTGAAGTTCAATGTTTGCTCTGAGAAGTTGAAAATTTATTAATTGGTAAGTTTTTAT